GAATTGTGTGTTAAAACATTTTTTGTACAGGGTGGTCCAATTTTTTTTAATACGAAATAGCGCTATTAATTCGTAAAAACGCAAGAAACTACGTATATACACTACCCGAGACATAGTTTTCTAAGGCAAAAAACAAGATATTTTAACAATATTAAAAAATTATGATTTTTTCGAAAAAAAATTCTCTATCAAATGATACAAAAGGTAAAAATGAATTCCATAAGAAAAAACCAAGCTGATGATGGTCAACCGGAGGCGAAACGTGGGATTTAAAATCTAAAACTAACATCTTGTCGGGGGGAAAAAGTGGCCATAAAATGTTTAACTTATTTCGAAATATCTTTTTAAATAACTTCAGTAAAAAAATAAAAACGATTTTACAAAATTTCGTTTTTTTCCGGATATGTCCGAAAGTAGTTGGAATTTTTTCAGTTTCAAAACTGCATTTGGCCCTCGAATTTGAATCAGCCTGTATACTGTACCTGAACACCAATTCTACTAAGCTTAATTTTGGTGAAATTATTAGGGCAGTTTATTTTATTTCGAAATAAGAAACGATGAAAATTTCAACATGATATAAAGTAATAATCACTAATTATAATAATGCTTCCATGGCCTTCCCGTTCGTCGGATCGCCAATTGAACACGTGTAGGATATGTGTCGGTGGCTAAGTGCTCTACAACCACCTGCAAACAGTTTATGATCTTCTTCAAAGGTCTCGTTTAGAATATTAGGGCAGTTATTATATCATAGGTTAGCATTACTTCGCCAATTTCCAGTATTCCAATATGTCCAGTAGGTAGATGACAAGAAACAGTGGGTGATCTACACATTATTAGTGTTGTTAGAATTTGTTGTAATTGTATCATGTTAAAATGTTCATCGTTCCTTATTTCGAAATAAATACAACTGCCCTAATAATTTCACCAAAATTGAGCGAAGTACACTGTGTGTTATATTATCGATTATCGCTCTCCATCCGTAGCCGGCCGCCATCTAGTCTTACCAGTGGAGAAAACACCAGTGTTATAAATTCTCTTCAAAACGTACCGGGAATTTGTATAATTGTGCGTATTAATAAACGTGTACCATTTTAAAATACTGGAAATAATAGGGTGCTGTCACACTCACAGTACATTTTTGGTTGTCTATTCGCTTGGTAGCATACATCATGTAATTTTCAAAAATTCCTAAAAAAAGTTTGATTGGTAAACGCCTGTGAATATGAAATATCAAATGTATTAATAACATGTATTAACGGCAGACGTTTATCATAAACTTTTGTTTATTGTGTTGTCAAAATTTGAAAAATTACATAAAAATAGGTTGGACTGCGCAACAGTCGTATGACACACGTTTATACGCTAGTTCTAATATACGTAAATAGAAAATTGCGGTGGCAGACGTTTACTAATCATTTCTCAAAATCTTTAGTTATCTCTCGGTCTATTAGCAAGAGTGATTTAAAAGATAAAATAAAATGAGAAAACTGAACGTTTGTCGGAAATCATTTTAATGACTACCCAAAAATAAATAAAATTTTATGGGCAAGACTTTGTGAACTTTGTTCCGGCTCTTCAATGCATCATCCTGTATTATAATAAAAATGAAAAGTGGATTTTAGATGATCATCGCCGCTTATATAAAACAACAAAAAATGAACACGGAAAGTTCAAAGTTCTTCCAGGCGCATGTTGAATTTGTTGTTCTTGACAAACCATCAAACAAATATCTACTTTATCACCCAGTTCATAAAGCAAGGGGAATAATAATAAATAATAATAATAAGCCATTTATTTGTACATAAAAAACAAAAAACAAAATATTTTTCACTTTAAACTTAAAAATTATTACACTACAAATAAATGTATAAAATCTACGGAGTTTCATTCACACAAACATGGGTACATTGGACACTAAAAAGAAAAGAGAAAAAAAACATACCAACACTGAATTCATACCTGCAGCAGATATCTAAGTTTAAAAACTTGTTAATATCTTTTGTCAGATGCAAGGTGAATAACTTGATAATAGAATTTAAAAAAAAAAAAGAAAAATAAAATTTAAAAAAAAACTAAGAAATAAAATAAAAATAAGCTAAAAATAAAAATAAATAAAATAAAGGGAAAGATGATAAGTAACAAAGGACTAATAGTTAAATTAAATTTGAACTAAAAGAATGTTTCGAACCTCTTGTATACTCATTGAAGCACAAATTTTTTTTACATTTTTCAAAAATGATTTATTCGATAGAATAAAAAACGAGGAGATATTGTACTTTAGTTGAAAATGGTTACCTATAGACCTTGATTACATGAAAAGTGAAGTTTTTTGTGCAATTTGTTTGTTAACTGTTATATTGTAAGATAAACTTAAAGTTTTGAATCTTGTAGTGTAGTTGTGAGTAGGAACATTAAGCAGTGTAGACTTGCTTTTGTAGATGTATTTTAATAAGGTGAGTATGTAAAGATGATAAATAGAATACAACTTAGTTTCTTTAAAGAGTTGTTCTGATGATAGCATTAACGGTTTTCGAAATAATATTTTTAAAATTAGTTTTTGGACAATAAACAAACGACTCATGTAAACATCTGGTGTTGACCTCCATGTTAATATCCCATACGATATTATAGATTGACATACGCCGTAATAAATAATTTTCTTGGAAGCGACACTCATTACACTGTTTATAGATTTAAAAAGATATATTAGTTTCCTTAATTTGTTGGTTAGGTATTGAATTTGAGTATCCCACCTTAGGCGGCTGTCTAACATGACCCCCAAATACTTCACAGTATTACATTTATTAATTTTTATGTCACAATTACATTGTCTCATTGTGCAATCCTTTACGTGTATGAGCAAACTGTCTACATTATCTACAGTGTAAGAGGACTTTTGGTAGTTTAACGTTAAGATGTTGTTATCTAGCCAGTGTTTAATTATGCTCATATGACCTGAGGTTGTATCTATTTTTTGAATCTGCCGAGACAAAGAGTACTGTATCGTCTGCATACGAGAACAACTTAGCATTTTGCAGTGATAAATTCAATAGGTCGTTTATATATATTATAAAAAGTAAAGGTCCCAGAATAGATCCTTGAGGAACTCCAAACCTTACAGTCTTTTCAGCACTCATCGTCCCATCAATTCTTACAGCTTGTGTTCTATTGTAAAGATACGATTTAATAAGTGAAAGACTAACGCCATATTTAAATAATTTATCACATAATATGTCATGAATCACTGTATCAAAAGCTTTAGCAAGATCTAAGAATACTGCTAGACAATACTCAGAGTTATCAAGAGGCGTTATAATTTTTTTAACAAGGTCAGTCAGCGCATCTTCAGACGATTTATTTTTCATAAATCCATATTGTGATCCTGAAAGAATATCAAATCTTTGGAAGAAAGACAGTAATTGTTTGTGAATAATTTTTTCAAATATTTTTGACAAAACTGGTTAGTGCAATTGGTCTGTAATTACTTACCTTGGTCTTATCACCACTTTTATGTAAGGGTATATCCATTTTTTAAAACAGTAGGAAAATATCCCTCAATAAGACAACGATTGTATAGTGTGGATAATGGTAGGGTGACGGAATGTGCGATAAGTTTTAATGTACTCGAAGAAATATTGTCATAACCACCTGATACTCTTACCTTTAAGTCTTTTATAGAGTTTTCTACGTCTTTATCAATGATTGGACACCATGAAAAAGTTTTTGTAACAAAAGAGATGGTATCTTTGTAAGTTCCCGAGGTACTGACACGAGAAGCTAACGTTTCGGGAACGGATACGAAGTACCTAGTCATTAAAAAATTCCACTATTTCACTCATATCCTTCACTACGTATCCATTCTCGTCAACTATTCGATTTATAGGGACTTTTGATTTTTCTATATTAGTTGCCTTTTTGGTCGCTTCCCATAGTTCAGATATATTTTGTGTATGTGCAATATTATTTTGAAAATATTTCATTTTTTGAAATTTTATTAAATTACTTACTTTATTTCTTTGTTTTTGATATGACAGGTATGTTAAATTATTTTTATTTTTTAAGTATAGTTTGAATAAATCTTGTTTTATTAGAATTTCTTGTAATAATTCATCTGTTGCCCATTCTTTCTTCTTTTTAATTCTTTTGTGTTTAATAATAGTAGTAGAAGCAATCATTTTTTTGCAGACGTTTATAAAATGATTAAACGATTCTTCAATGGGCAATAATTTTAGAACATCCCAATTAAATTGCTGGAGGAGTGTGTTCAGTTTACAGTAGTCAGTTATTTTAATACTTTTTAGCATTTTATCGTGTTGACATCTTTCTTTGACTAATTGAAATTGTAGCTTTAGTGCTATTGGACAATGATCAGTAATTTGATCTGTAATAATAAAAGATGTAGCAATCACATTTTTATTTGCACATTTGAGAAAAATGTGGTCTATGCATGATTGTGAATCACCAGATATTCTTGTAGGCTTGTTGATATATGGAACAAATGAAAATTCACTCAACAAATTTAAATACGATTCTGTTACATGATTTCCACTGCTTAATAAATCTATATTTATATCTCCGATTAGAATTTCAACACAGTTTTCGATATGATTTTGAAAATATAATTTAAGAGAAGTTAAGAAGCAGTTGATATCATAAGATGGTGGGCGATAGATGCGTGTTTCTTTTACCAACGTTTTCAGTCTACCCTCCACTTCACCCCATCCTCTAACAATAAAATGGGACCTCAAAGGTGAGAGATTTGCGAATGGCGCTGAAGTGGTGCAATAAAAAAATAGAACAGGTGAATTTTTTACAGTCGGTTATTTCTTTTCAGCGCGCCCTCGTAATTAAATTAGAAAATGAAGGCAAACGTATGCGTTTGGCTCTGCTCTTGAAAAGGGAGATTTATTCGCTCTCATTATAACGTAATTACGTATCCCAACCGGTAAAAAAGTCCGAATTAAGGTCAACGCTAAAATTGTATAACTCTTACCTACCTTCTTTTGTACTAAATTTATTCACGTCCGTTTCATTAATTTTTAAAATTACGTCTCCAACTTCCACCTGTAACAAAAGACAATTTCATTAAATTTCCAAAGCTAGGATAAACTTTCAGGGTTGTTACATTAACCACAGGATTTGCTTAGATAGTCGCCGTCAATTTACCTTATGATACGAAGATTTCTTTTTGTATATCTGAACTTTCGCCTTGCGATTCTTCTCTCTTTTTTGTTTTTAACTTTTTTTTCAAAAGAAGAATAAAGACTATTATTATTATTATTAACACAACCCTAAACGACTGGCATCGTCTAGCTAGGGCATGGTGCATTTTAAAAATACATTCAGCACAAAACGTTAAGATTAAAGAAGGTACGTATCCATAAACCACACACTCACGCAAAGGATTATTATTGTTGCCTTATAAAGCTATCCAATTACCAATTAGATTTTAAACATAAATAAAATTGGCTTCTGTGAAGGTTTAAATGCCACTAAATTTAAATTAAATAGCAAGTGCTGTCGTATTTTTAATCCAAATCAGAAAATGTTGAAATTCCGTGACAGGCTTGAGCAATAACTCTCGGCAAATAGGACATCAAGAAGAGAAATTGACTTCGATCGATCCTGAGCTAGAGCTGGATGATAGCAAGTATGTTTCTGTAACTGAACCTGAACAAATGCAAATGAAAAATGAACTCTTTGTTCAATTCCATATTTTACAAATCGACAACCAAAAGCAAATCAAAAATAGCACAGATTAGGTATACGCAGTCACTTTCTATTACAGATTTGTACCTCATATTTTTCCTACATCACTGGCATGGTTAATAAAAGGCAACATTTTCTTTTGCAGTACTAAGTAGTTTAATTGATTGATGTTTAATAAACAATTGTATATACTGCACTAAAAAGTATCTGATCCAAAGGGGTTGTTCAAACGAATAATTCAATAATACGTATATGGACAATGTTCCTTTTATTAAATTGAATGGGATGACATAAAGCGCCGCGCCGCTTTCATTCGTTGCATTTTATTACATACCTAATACAATTTTAAAAGGATGTCACAACATGATTTCCTTTTACTGACAACCCTGTAATTATTTAAAGTACTCCTGATAATAAAGTTTGAAATGAAATTCGAATACGGCTTTGCATTGATTCGGGGTATATTTTTGGCAGATGTCACGATTCCGTTTTAGAATTTTAACGATGATGAGTCGGGCTATCTAATGTTATAGAGTTTTCGTGAAGCGCTTCCCCACATGAATGCATTTTTATTAAAGCTATTTTTACAGTAGCATTATAAATGTGTTGATTACTAATAGAAAAAGTCAGTGACGAAAGAATTTTCAATTTAATAAAACTTAACATCGAATTAAATCTTTAATACCTTCATTATTTGCATTTTCCAACAGCATAGGAATTAGTTTGATTGTAGAAGGTGCTGATGACTACCAACAAACTAATTGAAAAGCCGTGTTGAGAAACTGTTCAGCAATCTAGTTCTTACAGATATTAAGATAACTATAGGTGTTTTATAGGTACTTTAAAGGACGACGACCATTTTAAATCCGAACGACCGAAAAATGTTCTAAATTATTTAGTCCAATAAGAAGATAAAATGCAATTTGAAAAATAAGTATAATTTCGTTTTTGGTGCAAGAACACAAATGAAGAATAACTTTTCCATGTAATAGAGACGGATTGAATGCTGTATTTTGTAAAAATAGTATTCCTTTAATTAGTACAACAGCGATAAGAACCCTCGTCCTTAATTTTTTATCGTAACCGCAAACGGGGCTGTAGGTTATTGAACTGAATTTAATAGAAATCTATACTTCTAGACCGACAGAACCCACACTTTGAACAATTATTCAAAAATTCTGACCTCCCGGCTGCGCGAAAAATTTGATCTCGACGAAATTTTGAACATCATTAACATTAATAAGCAAAAATCGAACCTATGAAACTGAAATAAGTCGAGTTAAAATGGTTTTAATTTGAGATGCCGGACCTAGATCGCACGAAATCTTTTGATTGAGATTTAAAAACCGATTTTAGGTACAAGCATGTGAGGTGCATTTCACTTGACTTGCACCACTAATAAATAAATTCATAAAACGATCTTCTCTGCTACTTCCCAGTGCGGAGATCTCGTCCCTCACACGGACGAACACCAATCAAGCGCTTAGGGATCATTTTTTTGTCACCTTGCAACCTTGTAAGGTACAGTTTGTTAGCGAAAGAATACTATCGGACGGGTCCGTGAAGTGAGCTGACCATGAAAAGCACAAACAACGGATTTAGGTTTAATCGTTTGTGCTTCGTTTGTGCTCGTTTGTGCCGTATAAAGTAAGTCAGCAAAACCAACCATTCAAAAATTATGGACAATTCAAAATGGTCAGCTGACTTCACGCACGAAATTAAAGCACAAACGACGGGTTTAATTGCAATCGTTTGTGCTTCGTTTGTGCTCGTTTGTGCCGTATAAAGTAAGTCAGCAAAACCAACCATTCAAAAATTATGGACAATTCAAAATGGTCAGCTGACTTCACGCACGAAATTAAAGCACAAACGACGGGTTTAATTGCAATCGTTTGTGCTTCGTTTGTGCTCGTTTGTGCCGTATAACAAAAGTCAGCAAAACCAACCATACAAAAATTATGGGCAATTCAAAATGGTCAGCTGACTTCACGCACGAAATTAAAGCACAAACGACGGGTTTAATTGCAATCGTTTGTGCTTCGTTTGTGCTCGTTTGTGCCGTATAAAGTAAGTCAGCAAAACCAACCATACAAAAATTATGGGCAATTCAAAATGGGCAGCTGACTTCACGCACGAAATTAAAGCACAAACGACGGGTTTAATTGCAATCGTTTGTGCTTCGTTTGTGCTCGTTTGTGCCGTATAAAGTAAGTCAGCAAAACCAACCATTCAAAAATTATGGGCAATTCAAAATGGTCAGCTGACTTCACGCTCGAAATTAAAGCACAAACGACGGGTTTAATTGCAATCGTTTGTGCTTCGTTTGTGCTCGTTTGTGCCGTATAAAGTAAGTCAGCAAAACCAACCATTCAAAAATTATGGACAATTCAAAATGGTCAGCTGACTTCACGCACGAAATTAAAGCACAAACGACGGGTTTAATTGCAATCGTTTGTGCTTCGTTTGTGCCGTATAACAAAAGTCAGCAAAACCAACCATACAAAAATTATGGGCAATTAAAAATGGTCAGCTGACTTCACGCACGAAATTAAAGCACAAACGACGGGTTTAATTGCAATCGTTTGTGCTTCATTTGTGCTCGTTTGTGCCGCATAAAGTAAGTCAGCAAAACCAACCATACAAAAATTATGGGCAATTCAAAATGTCAGCTGACTTCACGCACGAAATTAAAGCACAAACGACGGGTTTAATTGCAATCGTTTGTGCTTCGTTTGTGCTCGTTTGTGCCGTATAACAAAAGTCGGCAAAACCCACCATACACACAATTTTTTAACAATTGTGTCCTTAATCTTGAGTATTTTAATTAAATTTCAATGTATATATCTGTCAGTTTGAGTAACTATCCATCTTCAATAAATACTCCACCTTCCACTGTCAACATTGTTGCATTATTAAGGATAATAATAAAAAAAAAAATAATAATAATTTATTTCCAACAGCAAAGCCTATTAGGTACAGGAAATGTCAAAGGATAAACAAAATGAAAATACAAACTTATAATCCTCAGCCTCCTCAGCCTTATAGTTTTTTATTGTTGTCCGTGGTGTACGGGTACTTTGGACATTAAGGATGGACGCTATTGATTTTCTTAAAGCTGGTTCAACAGGAACAACAGTTATCGGACTTCGAGTGAAGCGGAAACAGGAAAAACTGCGGGTTCAATATAATAGAAATCAACATACTTCATTCCCTAGGTTATACTTATATCGAGTTCGGACTTTCGCTAGATTATTCCCTATGCCTCTTAGAAGTGTAATAATTCAATATTAGAACAAAATGTACCCAAAACTATTCTTTACACATGAATTTGGAGTTGTAAAAGCTTTCAAACGCATTATCTTGGTGCTGAAAGAGTACATCACGTGCACATTTGATAACCGCATGTGTGTGATTCAAAGATGTTAAATTATTTTTCTGATGCCACATGGATTTTGATCAAAACATGTCAAAATCGTTATTCTTGCACTGAGATCGATGGGAAAAAGTCCAACAGCATGATGCATCGTCTCAATGACCAACACATGAATTTGATGCATGTTTGGCGACCACATGGACTTTGATCAAAACATGTGAAAATGGTTATTCTTATTCATGTACCAAGATCATTGGAAACAAAATTAATAGCATTATCTCAATGGCCAACACATGAATTTGATGCAAAAATTCTGAAATTTAATTTTTATTTTTGCAATTCCATTCTAGTTGACTCGTCGATTCTAGTCGACGCCAGCTTTTACAGTTTTTCTTCTCACCACTAAACTTGCATGGTATTCGTTCAGAAGTTTTGAAATAAGTATTGCGATAACGTTCATTCTTATATTTCAATATTATTAGATCGGTAATTATTTTCTTAATAGTGTTATCATTGTGATCATCATAATCACGCTACCTCGTTTTATTATACGTAATATAATACGATAACATTTATTTAATAATGAAGATTTTAAAATCAATTGACGTGTACATCTTGTAGGTATGTATATCTACTACACAAAAAACTAGTAGCGTCGCAAAACGAGCGGACGGACGGACGGACGGACGGACAAAGTGGCCACAATAGCGCATTTTTTTTTATTTTTGTGGAAATGCGCTAAAAATAACCTGAGAGTCGGAAACGTTTCGTTAGGGTCCCTATACTCTATTCGAATTAATTTTTTTTTCAAATGTTTGTAATAGTGCTTCCGCCGTCTAGTTTTGTATAATTTAATAGCCCTTTAACAAATTTGAAAATAAAAAAGTAATTGAATATATCTTCAACAATGCATTCTAATTAATAACTGCTGTTTAATATACAATAAGGCAGACCTTTAAAAACTTTTTTTTTATTAAAGAGA